GTCTTTGCTGCCTCCCGAGGAGGGACTGCTCGCCCCCCACTTTGGGGCTCACAGGATATAAATATCGGGGGGTGGTGAGGGTCAGCCAGGCCAAGGCACAACCCGACACCACTTCTCCCTCATTCACACTGACATTTTGTCAAATGCCAGTGGGGAGGGGGGTTGCTTATCTGCTGGCACACACTCCAGTGACCTTCACAGTTCTGGCCAGGTGCCTCCTTGCTGTATTTACACTTATTTATAGTTCTCTCCTCAATCCCCACCTCTGCCCTCCTCCTTGGTACTGGAGGGGGGGCTACCTGCCCCATGCAGGTCGCTCTGGGCAGGTTGGGCTGCAAGGGAGCTGGTGAGTCCTTGGAGATGATAAGGGCCTGACAGCACCCAGCTTTGACACCCCCACCCCCCCCCACAGGGTGCTGCAGCGTGACTATCTTGGGACCGTGTTGCCTGACTGGGAGCCACAGGGACAGCAGGGTGCACCCCGGGGGTGGACGGAGCTGGGTTTGGGCCTGGCATGGGTCATGGTAGCTGTGTGGCCCCATCGCCTCCCCACTCCAGTGCTGGGGCAGCCCAGGAGGGTGCTGGGGGTCTGCAGGCACCCATCCCTGCCTGCCCAAGTAGGGCTCCCCTGTGCCTGAAGCAGCTAGCGGGGCGGGCAGCTGTGCCCACCACAACACCAGCCAGCCCGCTGCCCAGGGGAGAGTTCATGCGGGTGAAACAGCCGCCTGGCGCCCGTCTGCCTGCATGGTTGTAATCCCCATTTGAAGCAGTCTGTAATTACGGATTTCCCTGATAAGCCCGGACAGCTCTTTCCAAAACCCCTGCCCAAGGATTTTCTTTCCTTTTTAGAGACAAGCCTGAGGTGAGGGCAAGAAGGGGGAAACCCCCCGGCTGGCTGCAATTGCGGGCACCAGGAGCTGGCGCTGCCCGTGCTGCCGAGGGAGGGCTGGCGGGAGCCAGCACTTCATGTTCGCGGCATTTCTCACCTTCTGCTGGTTCGGGTCCCAGCCTAAATGCTACTGGCTAATTTGGGGCTCTGTCTCCGGTGCATGTGGATGTATATTTATCCCTTAATGCTTTGGGTAGGCACTTGGCTGTAGGGAGGGAGGCGTCTCTGTGCAGGACTGAGTCACCACTTTGGCTCCTTGGCGAGGAGATGGGCTGCTTGTTTCTGGCTAGTTCCTATGGCCCCTCCGAGGAGCTGCCACTTTCCTTCCTTTTTTCTATACAGCAAAGTGGCGTGTGAGTGACAAGGCAGTTGCAAAGCATCCTGGAGCCATGTATGCAGGCAGCAATGCAAATCTGGCCTCCCAGGCTTAAACAGGATTAAGCTCCCGCAAAGACACTGCGCCCCTCCAGCAGCTCTTCCAAGCCGGCAGACTTCAGAAGCTGAAACTTTTGCAGCCTCGCTAAGCACAAGCACAATGCGTGTGCCATCGCCCCGTGCTCACTGAATAATACTTGGCCAAAACTTCAAGGGGCTGGACCTAGGGGTTTTGCAGATAAGGGAAATTTCTACCTGTGCTGTTGTCAGGGGTGTGACAGAGGAGAGGGCCTGCAGGTCTCTTTGTCATGGTCACTGCCCCGTCCCCAGCCCCTCTGAGCCAGTTAATCACCACAGGCTGTGGGCAGCTGAGCTCTCTTGCTTGCCCTGTTTAGGCTGCTATTGCTTGTCCTCAGGGCTGCAGTTCCTCCAAGACGGTGTCTGGAGGCGGCATCACCCCTTTGCTTCTTTCACAGGCTTGCCGCAGGGAAGGCAAAACCCCAAAGCATCAGCATTTGCCTGAAGGCTGCTGAATTCCAGGTGGTTAGAGCCTGTTTTCAGGCTGGCAGGCAAGAGAGCTGTGCTCCGCCTGCTCCTTGGGCAAACTGGCTGCACACATGTGGAGCCAAGGTCTGCTCTCGGTGGGGTACGGCTGCCCCCAGAAGCCAGCAGCCCGGCCCCAGCCAACTTCTCCAGTCCCACTGACCACAGGTTTAGTCTGAGGAGCCCAAGTTGACACTGAAAGAGGAAAACATTTCCTGTTTTGTTAATCCAATATTTGAATTAGAGTTGGGCTTGGAAAGGAACCTCATTTCTCTACAGAGATAAGACCTCACATGCTCCTGCACTAAAGTTAGCACTGCTCCAAAGCAAGAGAAAGACCTGGAAGGGGAAATGTCCCATCTAATGTCCTCACGATGCTGGGAACCAGCAGTGAGCTGTGCTCAAGGAGGCATCCTTGGATGTAGCAATAGCCAGTGGCAGCCCTCACTCTGCTGCAGGTGCAGCCTGGGACACGTACTGGAGATGTTGAGGACACTAGAGATGGTTGCTTGCATTGGTCACCCTCACAACTGGGCAGAGAGATGGTGTCACATCCCGCTCCGACGAGGGGGACAGGTGACTCAGATTTGCAAATCCCCAATCGGAGCGGGATGTGACAGATGGAGCTCACCCCCATGCCAGCTCCTCGTCCTGCTCCACCTTGCCATTGCCCTAGGAAGGGCAAAAATTGGGGGCTTTGCAAAGGGACGGGGCATCAGAGCAGCAGGTGCCCTGGAGGGTGCAGTCCCCAAAGCACCTGGGAGCTTTTCCATTTGCAGCCCCAGGAGACAAAGGGATGCTGACTAAGGAGCCACCAGAAGCTCTCAAATTGATTTGCTCGCATGGAGTTTCCAGGAGAAGGCATAGCACAGGTGTGTGGGGGGAGCTAGTCCCTCCTCACCTGCAATGTTTAGGGAGAGGCCCTGCTGCTACTTGTCTGGAAACATTTAGGTGCAGCTGAGGTTCCCTGGGACAGGAGAGTTGGTGAGATGATGTCTGGATGTCCTTGACTGCCACTTTGGACACTGTCCCTTGTGCTTTTTTGCTATTGCCAGCTCCACCATGGTGAGTAGGGGTGGTGCAGCCGTGGCGGGCGCAGAGCCCTCCTGCTGTCCAGGCTGTCCCTGGGCACACACAGCATGGCAGCTGCTGAATCCAGCTGGCCTTGTCAGGGGCACAAAACGAGCACAAACCCTCAGTGCAAGGGTCCCTGCCAGCTGCCCGGGGCAACCCCCATTCCCATGATTGAAGTTACAAACCCCTTGCAGTGGGGAAGGGCTTCCAAGCTCAGCAGTAAATGAATAAAACCGTTAATGCTCTGTCCGCCCAGCAAGCAAAGCCTCTGCAGAGGCAAAGCTCCTTGCTACATGCAAGCGAGTATCGGCTGCCTCTTTGTCCAGTAATTGCGGTTGTGTTTCTGCTAGGGCTGAGGTCGGGGTTAGTTCATGCTTCACAGAAAGCTGAGGAGGATGGATGGCTCTGAACAGAGGCCATTCCCCAAAATGTTCTCCACCTTTTAGCTGTGGCTTTCAGGTGCAGCTGCCCGCATGGTGGTGTTGCAGGGGCTGCTGCTGCTGGAGGGGATGCCCAGGCTTGGGTTCCTGCTTCCCCAGAGAATGTAGGTGTGTGGCACCGGGCCACCTGTCTAGCTGCCTGGGCATCCCTCTTGCCCAGAGTGGGGATTCATCAAAATTGCAGCGAGCTGCCGGCAGTTGTCTGGTCACAGCCACACTGCAGTGCACACAGGCCAGGTGTCTGGGCTGGAGGATGCCTCCGAATTTTTGAGCATGTCTCCATGGGTGTTTCCTGGCTGCACACCAAGAACCCATGGCTGATCTTCCTACAAACTCCCAAGTAAAATTAGAACAAAAGTTCACTCCTCTCCCAAGGCAGCAGGAAATGCAAAGGGTGGGAAAAGGGAAAGTCAGAGCAGATGAGGTCCAGTGCCCGCAGGCAGCCTCCCCATCACCGCTGCCACCCCCTACCCAGGCGGGGGGCTGTGTCCTCCCCCACCCCTGTGGCCAGCCCAGAGGGGCTCTGCTCTCAGCGCTCAGTGCTGGGCTTGCAGTGCTTGGAGTGATGGATTCCCTCCAGAGGCTCAAGTCCTTGGTGGATGGGCCAGTTAAATGAGAGGGGGTTGGCTAGAGCCACGGCTTCATGCTGGGATGTCCTGGGTGCCCGTGCAGGCAGCCACCCTGAGCAAAGGATTTCCCCACTTTTTCTGAGGAGAGTGACTTGTGCAGGCAGAGCTGAGTTTTCAGGCATACCTGACCTGTGCTAGCTGGAAACCTGGGAGCATCCACTCCCAACCTCTGCCTACAGCGTGCGTACAGCTTTGCAGTGGCAGGGCACTCCTGCCTCCAGGGTGCCCAGAGAGAGCTCAGCAGCATTAGATTGCAGGAGTTTATTTTTACCCAGCCCTGTTGCCAGTGGGGACATGTCACATCTGTGGAGTTGATCAAAAGACATCCCGAGCACTGGTGTCAGCTGCTCCTTGTGATCTCAGCACCAGGATCTTTTCCCTTGTGGCATATCAAAAGGAGCAGGAGAATTTGACTGCTTTGCTATTTTTAATTGAACACACACACGCACACACAGAGACACACATATATATATGTATGTATGGCTTTTCTAAAAATAAAAGCCTTTGCCTGTGTTCCCATGGGAAGATTTGGGGAGAAGGGGGAGCCAAAGTTGCTGCAAGACTTTTTCTGGAGCAGGCACAAGAGTGGTGGCAGGAAAGCGGGGACAAACCACAGCAGGTAAGGGACACATCTGAAAGGCCAAAGGACATCTGATCCCAGAGCAGCCCAGAATGTCCCTGAGCAGAGGGGACAGGAGAGCTAGGGGAAGGGTAGCATCTGCATCCCCCAGAACTGGCAGTGATTAAGATGGGGACCCTTGACCTGCTGCATGCTCCCTGACCACCTAGGGACCAAGGGTTTTTGCAGGGCAGGTTTGAAGAGCCCCAGATCCCAGAGCCATTCAGGTGTTCGCATAGACTTTTTTTCATGCCTGATATACTTGATGGCACCATGCTCATGGATGTCTACCTGATACACCTCCCTCCAGCATCAGGGCAGAGGCCGGGCAGTGGGGGGAGCATCCCCCCAGCATGGGGGCAGCTCCCTGGCTCCTGGCAGTACTTTGCCTGCACTGGCAGCTCCCCACAGCCCCCGGCCCCACTGTGGCCATGGGCACAGCCGGGCTGGCAGTCCGTTGCCAGGACAGAGCACTGGCTTGCTATGGGGCTGTGAAGCCGCTCTCCCCTACGCTCGCTGCATCCTCCAAACTGCTCACCCTTTTGTCCACCGCCCTTGGGATGGGACAGAGTGGGAAGCAGGTGAGAAATGCAAAATAGGAGTGGATGTGTGCACAGGAGTGTCCTTTGGTATGTCACAGGATGTTGTAAACCCAGTGGGAAGCATGGCATGCAGGCTCCTCAGCCTATGGGAACACAGTTAACACTCCCAGACTATCCCAATTTAAAAAAAAAGCAAAAAGAAAGAGAAACACTGTCTTTTCCATTCCTGAACCTCAGTTTGAAATCCCTTTTACTTCCTGTTGAGTGTTGGAGGAGACCCTTCCAGCACATTTCAGGAGGGAAGGCCCCCATGTTCTCCTGCCCCTGCAGCCTCTCTCACATGCTCAGATGTTTGTCTGCTCCAAAATCCATTTGCTCTGTAAATAAACTTGCTTCCCTCATCGCCAGAAACTCCCCCTGAGCAGCCAATACCAGGAGGAGTCGCACCAGACCTTTCCCCTCTGTGTTTGAACCTGGACACTAGGGACAAAACCAAGCATAACCTGAGGGCCCCCCCCTCACTCCTGTGGGTGCTGGATGTAGCTGTGAGGCTTTGGCCATGCAGTGGCTGGGAGCCAGGCAGAAGTGGGCAGGTCCCGGCTCCTTTCTGTGGTTAAATGGAGATTTTTAGCTCAGCTCCTAGAGCTCGCATCCCCCGGTTTGCACCTGGACATCGATTCATTTCCATGTCATTTTTCTCATCCTGCATGTGTGATGTGGGGACCAGGGTCTGTATTGCCTTGGCGGTGCCTTGGGACGTGCAGGACATGTAGCTTGCCCAGGGGGACTGTCCCTGAGTGGTTCAGTGCCATTTGGTGGGGATGGGGATGGGGTACAGAGCAGCCCCGCAGACTGGCTGTGAGGCCACCCCGTGTGTTGCTGTCTCATGTGCACTCAGGTCTCTTGCCTCACTCTGTTATTGCTGATCTCCAGGGCAGCTGGGTAACCTGGATGTCACCCTTAGGGCACCAAAGGCAGGAATGGCTTCACTTTTCCCTAAGAGCAGCAGCAACTGCTTTGCCATGATCCAGGTGGCTGTGCTGTGCCCTGAGCTTCTGCTCGACTGAGGCTCTTCCAATGTAGATGCTACTGTTTTGACACCTGCCACAGCACAGGTCGCAGGAGAGGGGGTTTGGGTGGCAGTTGTGGGGCAGATTTCAGTAACCAGCAGTGCCAGTGCCAGGCCGTGCAAACCGATTTGCAAGATGCACAGTGAAGAGGTGCTCTCCACTCTCTGCACTGCTGTATGATTGTTCCTGGAGCCACTTGCCAAAGCTTATTCGAAAGAGGGTCTGAGTAATGGGCTGGAGTGGAGGTGACAGCAATGGGCAGACCAGCCATCTCTGCAGGTGGTTGCTGCTGCCTTTTGCTGATGGTCCTGTGGTGTGGCGGAGGGCTCACCCCCTTTCTCTTCTCTCCCCAGTACGAGGTGTCCGGTGAGGAGCACCTCTACTCCGACTTCCCTGAGATTGATTTGTCTCAGCTGGATGCCAGCGACTTCGACTCAGCCGGCTGCTTCAGTGAGCTGCAGTGGTGCGGGGAGCACTCGGAGACCGACTCCAGCCAGTACAGCACCGATGACTCCGAGCTCTTCCAGGTACCCCCATCCTCCTGGCACAGGAGACCTGAGGATGGAGGCAGGGGGAGGGGAGGGCAGGTGGAGAAGGAGGGAGGAAGGAGGGGACACACACAACTATTAATAGCTCCTCCCCAGCTGATTAGTGCTTCATTAATTTGCACGCCAGCTCTAAATGGGGCAAGCGGAGTAAAGCTAATGAGGAGGTGGATGAGCAGGGGAGGGTGCTGAGACAACCCTCCTGTGATGTATTATTAAAAGGGAATTACAGCTGGTGTGCAGCCCATCCTGTTCAATTCCCGGGATGGCAGGGTGTGCCACGGCAGCAGCGTGGGGATCTCAGAGCTGTGGTATGGGGCAGGAATATTCATTTCCCAGGAGCAGAAAGCAGCCCCTTCCCCTGGCTCTTCAGCTTCAGCATCCTCCCTGTGTTTGGGGCTGGGAACCCTCTGGCAGAGGGTGACTGGTTTTGTTCCTCACCTTTGTGCTGGGATGGACCCATCACTGTGCTGGCACCTAGGACTGCTCAGTGCAAAGCAATGCTGGGGCAGAGGATGCTCCCGGGCAGAGGCAGGGCTGGTCCTTGTCCCTCGGCACTGTTTTTGCTTCTCCTTGCAGAAAAACTGAGCGTCTTGCAGAGCTGTGACGCCAGGGCAGGGCTGTGAGCATGGCACAGGCAGGTTGGAGGCAGGGAGCTGCAGAGGCTGCCCAAGGACCAGGTGCAGAGCAGGCCAGGCACCCCGCTCCCCTTTCCTGAAGCTCATGCCGTGCCCTGGATGTGTCCTGTGCTTGAGGGCTGGGGTGTCTGTGCCCTCCTGAGCAACACCCAGGACCTTACCCCCCTTGGGTAAAGACGTTGTGACCCACTGGTGCCTGCTAGTCACCAACTCTGGGTTACATTTTGGGAGGGAAGAGAATCTGTATTTAAACAAGGGTAAAAAAAAAACCAACAAACCAATATTTTCTAACCTGGCCATAATAACAACCCTCTCTCTTTTATGCTTGCTGATGCTATGCTTGAAAATGGTCCAGTCCAGCTGAGGGACCTTCATCACGAGATGCATATTTTCCGCTGAACTTCCTGGGGAAAAGATAAACAGAAAAGAAATGCAAAAGACAGGCCCATTAGGAGCAGTGGAGTATGATGAAATGTATCCCACTGAACTTGTATGCACAGTGGTCTCATGCCAATAACAGGAGGAAAAGAAACAGAGCCAAAAATGGGGCATCCTGCTGCCTTTCCCTGGAGCCTGCTCTAGTAACTGTGAGCAAGGTTAGGGCGTGGAACAAAAGATACTTAATTTTCAAACAAGATGAGAGAAACACAGGAGACTGTGTGCAGTCAACCGTCCTTCTTGCAAGTCTGAATTTACCCCAGTGCTAATTTTATAGTTGATGGTAGCCTGCTTCTTGTTGGACATAGTTTACATTCAGAACATGATGGAGAAGGACCAAAAAGAAGGAACTCCTGGCTCACTTCAGCCATTTCTCAGATCTACATCCTCTTCTGGGCTTTTGCAGCTTATTTCCAGACTGGAAGGGGACTCGAGGGGCTGTGTGGGACTGGGAGGGTACTGGGAGGGCTGGACGTGCATCAGCCAAGGCAAAGCCCAGATGGAAAGCAGGGCGTGGGGGGGCAGGTCGGGGTGGCATGCAGGGAGGAGGCAGGAGCAGCCCATGGCCCTGCCTGGCCCAGCGCAGCCCTGGCACAGTCCCAGAAACTCACAGATCTCCCATCAGCATCCCCAGATCATGCCGTTCAATGAAAAACATAGATCAGGGGAGCTGTAATATAAGACCCATCTCATTTTGGGGGCAGTGCTCTGTCGCAGGGTCCCTCACTGAGCGCTGGGCACAACCGGCTTTAAGTGTGAGGGCTGAAAGCCCCTGTCAAGCTGGAGGTGCCTGTGTTTGGGGGCTTTTAGTGAAAACAAAACCCATATTGCTTGATACAAGTTGTGGCATCTGGCCAGCAGTGCAGCCCGGGCTAAGCTCCCCCCGTGCCCTCTCAGGGTCCATGCCCTCTTGTCCACTGGGCAGCCCTGGGCTGAGCTTACAGCTCTTCACATTTTCTTTGCCTTCTCCATTGGAAGAGCTGCAAATAATCAGCTGTGCCCTCTCAGGTGCCCCCGAGCCCGGCAGAGGGCAGGGGGCTGTGCCTGCTCCCTCCCTGGGCTCCCATCCTGGCTGGGTGCTGCTCCCAGCCCTGCTCAGCAGTGCTGTGATAGCCAGTGCTGGAGGGACTTGAAGCCCAGAAGCAGAAGGATTTGGGCAAGGAGGCTTTAAATCACGCATCCTTTATCTTTTGCTGTTTGCCTCATGGTGGGGTGGAGGCAACTATTGGGAGAGAAGATCCTCTGATTCATCATTTTCTTGCTGGAAGTGCAGGGGGACAGACTGATGCTCCTTTTCCAGTTGGGTCTCTCTCCTCCTGATCCCATCCTAGTGTTGTGGTGGGGAAAATCTCTGCCAGGTGCCCTGCAGAGTCACTGGAAAGTGTGGATGCTGGTGTGGCACCACCAATGCCTATTCCCTGCTGCCCAGCATTCCCTGGTCCCCCTGCCCAGCCTAACTCCCCCTCTCTTCTCTGCCTGCTCCTTTCAGATAATAGACAGCGAGAATGAAGCACTGCTGGCAGCCCTCACCGAGACATTGGATGATATACAGGGAGATGACATGGGCCTGGCTGCCTTCCGAACTATGGAAGAGGGGGACACGCTCAACCCAGCCTACACCTCGCCTGCCCCCTCCCCCAAACCCACCGCCCCGGTCACGGGGGGGCCGCCCCCGGCCCCCGAGTTTGATGAGCTGTCTCTAGTAAGAACCCACTTCCTACTGTTTAAGGTGGATTTGGATGAGCCCCTGATAAGCCGGCTGCATGGGTATGATAGGAAGCAAAGGTCTGAATTTTTTCATTCTAGGCTTAAAACTCTCTTTAACCGTCAATACCAAAGCATATACTTGTATTGTATACGTATACATGTTCTGCATCATTGCTGTCACCTCCATCACCATCCTCACGGGAACAAGCTGTGTGTATACAAATATATATATATATATGAAGGGGGCGGAGGGGACACAGCAGCCTCCCGGAAAGCCCCCAGGAAGCACCCCGAGAGGACAGAGCCTGTCTCTTAT